ATGTTGAGAGTTTGAGGGAGACAACGCAGTCGGTACAAGTGGCAATTGGGACAATAAGTGATGCTACTCCCGAAACCGTCTGGGAGAGGAAGCAAACCCCGGCTAACGACCGGGCGATATGAGTTTAATCGAATGGAGAAAACTAAAAGGGAAGGAAGATGCTAAGAAAACATCGAGAGCGCGTACGACGAATCACCTATAATATCCTGCCGGAAGTGGAGGCTGAAGCAGCGTCGGTGGCGGAGGCGGAGGCGGAGGCGGCAGCGGTCCGGGCAGCGCGGCGGCCGAACCCGCCGAGGCTGCGGGCGCGCCGCCCGCGGCGGCGGCCGGCGGCGCGGCGGCGGAGGCCGCTGAGGTGCCGGGTCGGCTCGGGGCGGGGGCGGAGAGGGCGAGAGACGTGCGAGGCCTAAGGAGGGAGTCGCGGGTTGCGTGGACGGCCCGCGAGGGCAGGGCGGCAGGAGGAGGAGGGGACGCCTCCGCGGCGCGGGGGACGAGAGGGCCGGCCCGCCGCTCCCCGCCTGCCCGCTGCTCCCCGCCTGCCCGCTGCTCCCCGGAGGCGCCGCCGCAGCCCACGAGGCCGGGGCCCACGGAGGCTGGCGCGGCGCGGCCGAGTCGAGGGCGTGCCCGCACGGCGAGGCGCAGAGCGAGGCGGCGGCGCCTCCCTCGGGCGACGCCGACGGCGCACCGCGCGGCGCCGCCTCCCCCTCCGCGGGCATGCTCGCGAGGACCGACTGCATGCAAAAGAGCCTGCGCGGGGGAGGCGCCAGCGTGAGGGCGGGAGTACGGTACCGTGCAGTGTCCTCAGAGCACCGCGTGAAGACACGGGCTGCGAGTACAGTCGATGCGGCCGAATGCGGTCGAGCCCAGTTGAGTACGCCTCCTCTCGAGCGCTAGTCGGGATGCAAGTGTACGTATTCCGCTTCTAGGCAACAGCGCCGGTCGGCTGTCGGCACGCCCGAAGGCAGCTCGAAGCCGCGCGGGGCGGAGGCGCCGACGGCGAGGCCGGAGTGGCCGTCGGGCGCGCAAGGCGCGTCTCCGGGCGGGTCGCGCAGCGTGCAAATCCGCCGCAGCGTGCACGCGGACCCGATGCAGATGCCGTCGAGCCGGCCAAAGCCGGCGCCGCCAAAGTTGCACGAGACGAGGTCGACGAGGTCAAAGACGAGGTTGAGCCAGACGCCGCGCGCGACCGCGGCGAGCGGGATCCGCGTGTGCAGCGGCGTGCTCGCCGGCTCGCGGAACGACGTCGAGAAGAGGATCCGGCGGCGGGTCTTGCCCTTGTCGGACACGTGGAGCTCGAACGAGAAGGAGCGGTCGTCCGAGAGGAGGACCTGCAGCACGAGGAAGGGCTGGACGAGGCCGAGCGAGCGGCGCTCGTCCTTTGGCATCCGAATGGACGGACGGTCGCCGTCGCAGCGGAGCACGTAGCCACGCACGCTCTTGTCGTACACCTTCTGCACACCGGCGCCACTGACCTTCCACTTGTCGAGCGGGTTGGAGCCGGAGGCGCCAAACACATCCACCGACGCGCCGCCCTGGAAGACGTTGTCGAACGTCATTACTCGCCCGTGTGAGGGCGTGAGCAGGCCGGTCAACCAGCCACTGCTATGCAACCGGGCCCCCCCGCGGGGGCTAACAACCGTGCCCGGACGTTGCCAACCGCAAGGAAAAAAGATTTTTCGCTCTCGCTCGCACAACACTGCGCAGGACTGGCTCGCACTGGCACTAACACAGGAAAAAATAATGCGGAGTTTTTTCTTTGTTTCTTTTAGAGTCTGAGTGAGTATGTGTGTGTGTACTACTCACTCACTCACTTTAGAGTCTGACTCTTGTCAAGCACTGGGAAGATGGGTCGCTTATCTTTCGACCGCTTCATCGCCGCAATTTTTTTCAAGAATTCTCATGCGTTGTTTGCGTGTGTGTATATGGTTTCGCTCGTCGCCGCCTACGGCCTGCTCCTCCAACCGACAGCACGTCGGCCCTCGCCACTCCGGCGGTTCCTCTCTCCGGTGCTCGAGGCGCCTGCGCCGCTCGCCTCGCTGCTCGATCTGGCCGACGAGTACGACGCCTTTTTGCTCGACCAGTTTGGAGTCATTCACGACGGCAAGACGGCGTATGAGGGCGCAGTCGACGCCGTCTGCGAGCTGCAGCGCCGTGGCAAGAAGATCGTCATCATATCCAACAGCAGCCGCCGCAAGAGCGACACGCTCGCCCGCCTACGCTCCATGGGCTTCGGGCCGTGCGAGGGCGAAGGCGCCTCTGATGTCCCGCCCATCTCGGTCGTCACGTCCGGCGACCTGGTGTGGGAGGGCCTCTCGGCCGCTGCGGCCGCGCCCTTCGCCGATCTCGGCCTCAGGTGCACCGTCTTTGGCAACGGCGAGGACGACGAGGAGTACGTACGTACGTGCGGGCGGGTGGCGGTTCCGGTGGCGGAGGCGGACTTTGTGCTGGCGCGAGGGCTCTTCACGATCCT